AGGCTTCCCAGGGTGCAGCGGAGCCCCCAGCCCACGGAGGCTTCCCAGGGTGCGGCGCCCCTTCTCACCACTAGGTGGGCCCTTCCTTAGGAAGCACTAAATCAGCACCGTGGGCGTGGGTTCCAGCTCAGACTGGGTCTGTGGGTCTGCCTGGTCACCACCACGAGAGTCTGTCCACCTTGCTGTTACTCAAGTAGCAGCTACCATCCCCTGAGCAGCCCTGGTGGCGCAGTGGTTATGCGTTGGGCTGCTAACTGCAAGGTCAGCGGTCCGAAACCACCAGCTGCTCCTCGGGATAAAGACAAGGCTTTCCATGCCCGTAAGCGATGAAAGATCTCGGAAACTCACAGGGGCAGTCGGAATCAACTCGATGGCAGCGAGTGGCCATCCGTGGGGTGCCTGTGGGACTTCAAACGCATTCTATTCTTCTTGTTATTGCTGAAGGGGCCCAGAGTCAGACCCACCCCAACGCCCCGAGAACTCAAAGAGCTTCCAAAAGTTGGTGGGGAAAAAATTCCATGAGCTTTCCATCCCATTTTGCCACGAGCTTCTAGAAGCCCTCTCCTGCAATGGGACAAGAGGCTGCCCAGCACTGGCCCACCCCACGGGGGCCTGCGGGTCAGACCACGTTGCAATCCAGGCAGTTTCTAATGCCTGATTTTTCAGGAGAGGTCACCAGGCCTTTCTTGCTTATTTTCCAGGTCCATCTCCATCTGGAAACTTCTTCAGCAGCAGCAGCATGGGCATAGCAACAGGTAAGAGAACCGGGCTCTCCCACGTGGAAGGGCAGGATTCTACCATGGACCCCCCACGGCCTCCACCCTCATCTTGTCCTTGTTGCCAAGGAACCTTTGCGTGGGTCCTGACCCACCGCGAGACCCCGGGCACAACAGAAGGAAACACTGGCCGGTCCTGCGCCCTCCTCACACTTCTTCCCGTGCCTGAGCCCGCTGTTGCAGCCACGGTGCCGGTCCACCTCCCTGGGGTGGGGGTGGGGGGGGGGAGGGCTTCTTTTTTGCTGCCCCTCCACTGTACCAGACATGACTCTTAGCTTAGAGACTAGGAAACAGGAGGTTAACACGAGGCAGGCATGGAGCCCAGGGGCTCCCTTCTCAGCTGCTGCTCCCTGTAACATGCCTGGTGGGTGCTGGGCAGCTCTCGGCCCCTCCCTACAGCCACTGAGCGCAAACAGACTCCAACTGCTGCCCCAGGTAGGCGCCTGCCTCAGCCGACCTCTTTTTTTCAGCCAGAGACGGAGGCCCACGTTGAGGGGCACCCAGCTGGCTATTCTGGGCAGAAAGCTGCCCTCTCAGCTGCCTTCCTCCGCAGCTGTCCCAGCCCAGCCGGACCCCAGGTAATCCCCCCTGCCCCAGCCCCTCAGGGGGACACACAGCCAGGGACCAGTTGTTTCAACAGCTGCCGAAACCCAGGTCAAAATGCTGTGGACCCTCGAGTGGCTATTTCCCTTTGCTGCACCGCCCCCGTGCCCCTCCAGCGACAATGCCCTTGCCCACATGCAGTCCCCTTCACACCGGGAAACTTCCCATGTCGGAGAGGGGCAAGCCCAGGAAAACCTGCCATGGTCCCCCACATCCCACCCTCCCTGAGCCACCCCAAGCCCCTTCCCACAGTCAGGCCTCAGAGTCCCCGCAGGAAGAGCTGGGGTCCCGTCAGCTGACACCTTCTGTCCCGTGCATGTGGGAGCTGGAAGAGTCCCAGGCCTGCACCCCACCCGCACAGGGTCCGAGGGAGTGCTCCAGGGTGGGGCCGGGTGCTTCCTTCAGGGCAGCCATGGCTCCAAGCCCTGCCCACCCCACCCCCTCGGGGCAGCACAGGACGATGACCAGCTGCCAGAAGGCCCAATGACCACAGCCAATTCAGGGGAGCAACTGGCCCCCTCCCCAAAGGCCGACGCCGGCCCAGACGCAGACACAAGGGAGATCATGTCGGGCTTCAAGAATTTTGATGAACAGGGTTAGAGGGAATAACTTGGGGGCGGCAGCTGGTCCAACAGCAGGTGGGAGGGGGAGGGGGGCCCAGTCAGGGCCCACCCTCTTGCAGTGCTCAGGTCCTGCCCTGCTGAGGAAGTGGGGACAGGCCTTTGTAGGCCACTTGCACCCCACTCCGTCCACTGCACCTCACTAGGAGGTGCTGGAGACCACAGGCAGGAGGGCTCCAGCTTGCCACTTCTGTAGGGGAGGGGTTCACACAGGGGACTGGGGTGTTTCCCAGAACCCCTCGGTGACCCACCCTCCCGTGCCTCTTAACCTCACTTCTCTCAGAGAGCCAGGCAGCTCGCCCCAATTTCTGATCTAGCCCCTAAGCCACCTCCTCAGAGAAGCCTTCCCTGACTGCTTGGGCCCAGAGCCAGCACATCCCGTAACGTGCTCGGCCCACATGGCCTTCACAGTCAACCCTGGGTGGGATCATGGTCCGGCGACGGTGAGAGGCTAAGCATCGGTTCTTGAAAGCCCCCACGTTGAGTCCTTTTGTTGCAGTGGCCTTGGAAAAATGAGGGAGCGCCCCCCACGAGCACCCCCCCCCACAGACGTTCACTGCGCTTCTCCCCCTTCCCCATGCTCGAATCCAAATCCACTCACGCGCTCACCAAGAAATAAACCAGCCATGCCGGAAACCGCTCCCGAGCCCATGCCCTCACGCCCTTCCTTGGGCTCCCAGTGAACCCCACGGAGATCTGGCTCCCGGGGCCTTCTCGCTCCAGAAGGGTCTCCAGCCTCCAGCCTTACCTCCCCGTCAAAGGCCTAATCCCACCGCCCCCTCCCACTCATTTCCACTCACTAACTGGGGGTCACTGCTTAGGTTCCCAGGGCCTTTCAGACTGCGATGACGACCCCTGGTAGCACGGTGGGTTAAGCGCTGGGCTGTGAATGCAGAGGTCAGCAGTTTAAGATCACCAGCTGCACAGGAGGAAGATGGGCGTTCTGTTCCTGGCACGACTCACAGCCTCAGAAACCCACAGGGCAGTTCTCCCGACGTGGCACCTGGGTTGCTACGACTCAGAACTGTCTTGATGGCGGGGAGCCTGGTGCTGAAGCAGGCGTTGACAGCGAGGCGGTCGGCTGCCGTAAAGAGCTCCAGTCCTGGCCACCCACAGGGGCAGTTCGACTCTGTCCTCTGGGGCACTATGAGCCGGCATCACGCAACGGCAGGGAGTGGGCTACTTTTACTGAGGTCCACAGAACGGCATGAACCAGAACATAGTTAAAGTCCAGGCGGTGGTCGGCTCCGACGCACGCATGTTGGTGGTGGTGGTGGTCGAGAACCAGGGAGCTGACCGAGACACCTCACATCACAGAACTGCACCCCGGGGGACTGTTTCCTGGCTGTGATCTTGGTCCAGGCAGACCACCAGCCTCCTTTCTTCTGAAGAGTGGCTGGGGGGGGCAAGGGGGCGGGAGCAAGGGAGGGCGGCTGGAATAAATGAACCATCCAATTAATAGTCAGATGCTTAACTGGACGAGCCACCAGGCCGCTCGCTGCGGCCTGTGTGGGTTTTGTAAGCCCGATAATAAAATGCAATGTTCTAAGGGAAGAAATATAAAAGAGAGAAGGTGCTCTTCGGTCGGTTTCCCCTGGAAGCAATTTCAAAAGACAAAACCGACTCACTGTCCTGACATTCACCAAGAACTATCCCACCCCGTGTCCCCCAGTAACAGGGGAGCCAGTGACTAACCAGCACTCCGGCCACTCACATGACAGAGCCATCTTTGACAAGAGGCCTTCCGGAGTGACAGGGGAAATCGGACCTAGTCCGGAGTCCAGGCAGCAGGTACCTGGGGTGGGGTGCTGAAGCGGTGGGGGGAGGGGGGGCAGGAATGGGAACAGGCCAAAAAAAAAAAAAAGAGAATCCCTTAAGAGGGGTTGTCGGGATCACCTCAGTGCCACACGTGAACTCAGGGGTCCCAGGTGGCCATGCAGGGAGACAAGCAGAGCCCTGCTGCCAAGAAGCCCTGGTGGGTTCCTCTCTGAGCTTCCAACCACGAGATCAGCAGTTCAAACCCACCAGCTGCTCCTCAGGAAAAAGCTGATGCTGCCTGCTCCCGTAGTTACAGTCTTGGAACCCCACAGGGCAGTTCCACCTGGTCCTAGGGGACAGTGATTTATCCCCCAAGTGTGTGAATGAACGTGGTCACACAGGATGTTAATGGGTGGAAGAAAAACCACTTTTAAAAAGTGTTTGTTACAGCACCAATCCACTGCCGTGGAGTCCATGCTGTAGAGCTTAATGGGACCAGACAGCCTCACCTTTCTCCCGCCGAGGAGCAGGTGGGTTTGAACCCTCACCGATGCTGACCTGACAGTACCACTTTGCAGGGCCCCTTTGCAGAGGTTAAGCTAGACATAAACAAAGATCTCCACTGTAACCACCTTTTAAAATGGTGACAATACCTATAAAAAAGCAATTGCCATTTCAGCTGGGTTTTTTGTTTTGTTTTGTAACAAGCAGAGTCCGCGATGTTAATTAAAGCCATTGCGCTATGCAACCTTACTTCCGAAACTTGTGCCTCGCCCCAAATGGAAGCTCCGTTTCCCTTAGGCAGTAACTGCCCTCCTCTCCTCCCTCCACTAAGAAGCTCTGGTCCTGTGTGTTTGCTTAAACTGATCTAAATTAAACCAAACTACACTAATCTAAGCGGAACTCAACTCCCTGCCGTGAAGTCCAATCCATACAGGCCAGAACGGGCCCTGTGGGTGTCTGAGACTGTCAGGCTTTGCAGGAGGAGAAAACCTCGTCTTTTTCCCGGAGAGCGGCCGGTGGTTTCAAACTGCTGACCTGGAGGTTAGTTAGCCCGGCCACTTAGACTAGCCCAGATGTTCACCGAAGCGGGACGGGACCAGATGTGAACACAACAACAAAGTGTTTGGAAATCAGCAGGTTCGAAGGCGGTGAGGGCTCCCGGCTGGGCTCTCCAGAACCTTGAAGCGGCTCTCGCAAGCAGTCAGAGAAGGGGCTAAAAATAAGATGACCGCAGGATGCGCTCACCCGAGCCTCAACACCTGCGCGGGTGAGGGGGGTGCTATTCAGGATGTCAGCAGGCACAAGCCAGCCTGGCCCGGGCCACACGTGGTCACCTGGCCTCAAGGGAGGGCATTTTCTGCTCATTACCCTCTACGGAGAAAAGGGGGGGGGGCTTGGTGGCACAGGCGATTAAGCACTGGGCAGGGAACCACAAGGTCGTGGTTTGAGCCGCTCCAAGGGGGAAAGGCGGAGAGGCTTGTCTGCTTCGGAAGACTTGCAGCCGTGGGAGCTCCGCGGAGCAGTTCTCTGTCCTTCAGGGTGCTGGGAGCTGGAATCCACTCGCCGTGGGTGGGTTGTGTTGTTTTGGGGTTTGGGGGGGGTGTGTTTGCCCTCCAAGAAAATCTTGCCGGCCCGTCAAGACCAGTGAAAGCACCCCCACCCCCACCCCTCATGTGCTCGGGGGCTGCGCATCCCCCAGGGACTGGTTCTCTCAGGTCTCTGCTTCCAACCCACTGTTCAGTCTCCCTCCCCGGCGACAGGGACCCCCCTCTGTACCCCACCCAGACCAGAGCCCCGGGTGGCTCTCAGGTCACCTCCTGTCACCCCCTGCAGCTCCTGGGCCGTGAGTCCTGACACCTGTCTAAAATGACATACCTGGATGACCCCAGCCCCAGGGGTGGACCCCAGGATTAAGGCCCTCCCTCACCCCAGCAGGTGCCCAGAGACGCAGGAAGAAGCGAGCAGACCCCAGCACCCCACAAGGCTTTTCCCACCCCCACTGGCCACTGCCTCTGACACCATCCACCAGCCTGGCCCCCCAGGGAGGATGGAGGGGCCCCTCCCTACCCACCCCAACCACCTAGGCGGGTCCCACCTGAAGCTCCGCCCAGACTGATAGCTGCATGCCTCTATCTGTCCCCGGGTTATTCAGACCCCAAGGGAAGGCCCCAAGGCCTCCTGAGGGAGGCCGGCCCCAACTGCAGACCCCACCAGCCAGCCAGCAGCGGGCGGCTTACCAGGGAGAGCGCAGAGCCAGCTGCCCATGGAGAAGCCCCGCTGCAGCGCTGGCTGCCCCGCCCGGATCAATGCATCGATGCCGATGCTGGAGGAGGAGGAGGACGTCAGGGGCTTGGGGAGGTGCCCTGCCCCCGCCCCGCACTGGCCTGGCGCCAGGAGAAAATTCAGGATGTGGTTATAGAGAAGCTGGGGAAGAGACTTGGCAGCGTGAGAGGGCTGCTCCCCGGCTTGCTGAGAAAGTGCCCCTGGCAAGGCTCAGCACCCCGCCCATCTTGGTCCTCCCTGGATGAGCCTCTGGGATCAGTGCCTTCAATGGGGGCGACCTCTAACCTCTGACCTCCCAAGAGTGTGAGGGTGAAGACAATCCCCCAGGGTGGGGTCAGTGTTGCAGATGACAGTCACCAGCCCTGTGGCCACCCAGATGCCCAGGCCAGGGCCCAGGCAGCCCTAGGTGGGCCCTCTGCAGGATCTAGGGAGGAGGTGGGTCCTGCCTTGAGGCTCTGCTCCAGGTCTGGGGAGGACACCCCCTCCCATTTCCGCCCCTGCTCCCCATCAGTCTGTCTTTGCTCTCCTGGAAGCTGAGTCTCCACACCTGGTTCGGGGACAGCTTTGAGCAGCCTACTAAGATCAGGTGGCTGTCTGCCCACCTCTCCCCATGCACATGAGGCCTTTCAAATGGCAGATCCCATTTTTGTGGGAGCCCCCACGGGTAGGGCCTGGGTGTCTGGCTGGGTCCAGGTGCCCCCACCTTGCAGGGCTGGTTCCCGTGCGTGGCTGGCTGGCGTGGTGATGGTGGCAGAAGGCTGAGCAGGGCTGAGCTGCCTCCCCACCCCCCCCACCCCCCCACCCCCGCTGTCACCTCTACTCCTGAGTTGGGGAGGGGGCAGGGGGGAACAGTTGGCGGGGCTGTGAGACCCTGTGGGGCGGGAAGGCACAATCCTACCAGGAGTTGCTTTTGTGTCTGCTCCAGGGTCCCTAGAGAAGAGGGGTGGCTGGAGCCTCGAGGCATGGCCCCTCCCCACTTCCTCTCAGGCTCCCTTACCCGCCCACGCACCTGCCCACCCCCACCAGGGGCACCTGGGCACTTGGGTGGCCTGGCTGGGTCTGGGCCTGGCAGTGTTTGGGGAGGGGACCACGCCCCACCCCACCACCACCACCTTTTCACTGGGACTCATTGGCTCTGCCAGACACCAGGTTCTGCCAATGGCCCAGGCCGTGGGCTCAAACATCCTCCAGCCCCTCCCGACGCCAAGGTTGCCAGACTGTGCTCCGGCTCTTTGTGCCTCTCCGGCCTCCTGCGCCAACCAGATTCAAGAAGAGCATCTCACCCAGGGGTTGGGGGGCGGTGTGTGTGTTTGGGTGGGTGGGTGGGGGTTGCCGCCAGAGCACAATGACTGGACTCAGATGTTCACAGTGGCGTGGCTCGTCACAGTGGAAACAACACAGTCCCCGTCTTCCAACTGCACAGAGCCAGCCAGCAAACCCCGGAGGCTCAAGACCCCCACCCCAAGCCTTCCTCACTGCTACGAAGCAGGAAGGAAACCATTGTCCCAAGCCCCCCACCCCGCACCCCTTTCCTAGTCTCATCTCCTCTCTGTCCTCCTGCTTTCGGTCCAACCCTAAAGCTCACAAGTTTCCCTGGATGGCGAAACAGTAAGTCCTCCACCACCGGCTAAAAGGTTAGCAGTTCAAACCCAGCAGAGGCACCTCGCGAGGTGGGGCTGACAATCTGTTTCTGAAAGGCTCCAGCCCTGACAACACAGGTCCAGTCTGCACCAGGGGCCCTGGGCTGGCTCAACACTGTCAAACCCACTGCCATGGAGTGGATGCTCATGTGCAGAGACCCTCTAGGGCAGGTGGCACTGCCCCTGTGGGTTTCTGAGCCTGTCACTCTTCATGGGAGGAGAACGCCTCCTCTTTCTCCCTCGGAGCTGCTGCTGGGTTGGAACCACCGACCTTGCTGCCTCGCAGCCCAAAGCTTAATCCACTGTGCTACCAAGGCTCCTGTCAAGGTTACAGCAACGGCCACCCTATCTAGAGGACAGTCCAGAACTGCCCGAGGGTTTCTGAGGCTGTCAGACTTCACGGGAGCAGAAAGCCTCATCTCTCTGGTCTGCCAGTTAGCAGCCTAACTTATAGCCCGCCACGCCACCAGGGCAAAGTACTTTGCAGTCACCGATAAGAATTTTAAAAGTACACTGCCGTCCAGTCGATGCCGGCTCACTGCGACCCTGCAGAACAGGGAAGGCTTGGCCTTGTGAGCTTCTGAGACTGTAACTACTGACAGGAGGAGAAAGCCCCATCTTTCTCCCGAGAGGGGGCTGGTGGTTTCAAACTGCTGACCTTGCCGTTAGCAGCCCAACTTAACCACACCACCACCCTGCTTCCCCAAGACATCAGAAACACGTGGAAGGAAACGTATGGAAACAAGAACAACAGTTGCCCTTGGGGAGGAGAAATCACGGGCAATTTTCCCTCTTGCATCCACCTTGCCAGAAGGTGCTGTGCGGTGTGTGTCTCTTGCTCCCAATGTCGGAAAGAGCCAGGCAGTATCGTGTAGTGCCTACTGGTGCCTACAGTCCTTGCCCCGTGGGCACCCTCCACCCACTGCAGGAAGACAGCAGGCCAGACAAGGAAAGGGTAGAGAGCATGGATTTGTCTAGCAGACAAGGAGCTGGCTCCACAAGAACCTCAGCAGGGGGCTAGGTGGAGGGTGGGGAGACGGCAGGGGCTGGAGTTCGAATCCTAGCTGAGCGGCCATGGGGGAGGGGCTGAACCTCTCCGTGCAGCCCAGGGTGGTGCCCACCTCCCCAAATGGGAGAACGGGAAGGGGGTGATGCCCACCAAGCAAGAGTCAGCACCTGTTCATCAGTTCGATTTAAAAGGGCTTGCAGTCAGACACAAAGAACTTCCAGCGAACCGGTCTTAGCTTGTTTTCCCAGCCCCCTCGTGCTACATACCTTCCTTGGAGCCAGTGGCCACGGCAGCGCCCGAGGCTGACCCCGTGGATGCCCGGCCCACGGGGCTGGAGTGCTTCCCCCCACGGCCGGGGGGCTTCAGGCCGCTGGGCTTCTGCATGGCGCTGCCGACTCGCTGTGTGGACGGTGGTGCCGGTCACGTCCACGCTGCCATTCTCGTCACTCACCTGCAGGCGGAGAGCAGGAGAGAACCCGTCACAGGGACACAGGGGGCTGGGTCCGTGTGCCCAGAGCACCCTGGGGCTGACGGCGGCCTTGGCAGCGCCCATAACCAGTGAGGCAGGGACGAGCAGCATCCACTTCCCAGAGAGAGAACCTGAGGGGCAGAGCCCAGGCAGCAAGACAGTGGGGCTGCTGGGGGACCCGCATCCGGGTTGCCTGGGCCCCAGGGTGATGGGCACACTCCCCCTGGCCCACCTCCGGGCCAGAAGGGAGACTGCAGGCCGGCCACATCCCCCCAGGAGCCTGTCCTGGCCTGGGGCACTCGGCACCAAGCACAGGCGGGTACAGATTCTGAAAACGCGCGCGCGTGCACACACACACACACAGATGCACCACAAAGCCTCCTTCCTGTGGCCTCACGGGAGGTGGGCGGGGCGGAGCAAAGGCCAGCGTGACCCATCCCTGCAAACTGTTCCCCTCACCACACAGACCTCCCGCTGGCCCCTGGACTCCCCACGTACACTGCCCACTCCTTCCCAGGAGACGGGCACGTCCTTCCGCAGAAGGGCCGCCTGCCCCAAGTCCCCACCAGGGCCCATGACCCTGCCCACAGCCTTACCATCGTGACTTCACAGCCTTACGACTAACCAGAGGGGGTGAGGCATGTGCCCACCTTACAGGGGCAGGGGGCAGCCTCCCATCCCCAAGGGAATGGTTCCCAGGGGCAGGTGACAGAAAGGCCTGTGTCCCCGGCCTGCCTCCTCCTCCCGTGGTCTGTACCGAATCCCTCTTTCTATGTATCTTATCGTGGTGAAATACATACACATCTACGTATGTATGTACATGCACATGTATGTATATACATGCTTGCCATTTAAGCCTTTATTAAAGGTTATAAAAATGAAAACGATGAATTACACTCATTGCGCTGACACCACCATCACCCACCTCCAAAGTTTTCCATCTCTTCAAACAGCCACCCCTCCAGCAGACGCGGTCCACTTCCGCCTCCCCTTGGCCCCTGGGTCTCTAGGCTTGGGCCTGCCTGCTCTAGACGCAGCCCCGCAGGTGGGATCACACAGCATCCGCCCGCTGTGAGGCTGGTTTCACCCCGCACCAGGCCCTCGAGGCCCATCATGGCACAGCAGGTGTGTGTGGCTCAGCAGCTGTGGCAGCTCACTGCACACACGCACACCTTGCGGGTGGACCCAGTTGTCTGAGGGGACACCTGGGCTGCTCCCACCTCGTGGCTATGGCGGTGCTGCTGTGGACACTGGGGGACAACTGTCTGGGTTCATCTCTGCTTTCTTTTCCATCCCCAAGATGCAGACTAGTTACGCTTTGAGCTGATCACTGCAAGGTCGGTGGTTCAAACCCACCAGTCGCTCCTCTGGAGAAAGATGGAGGCTTTCTGCTCCCATAAAGGGTCAAACACAAACAAACTCAGGGCCATCAAGTCGATGCTGACTCACAGTGACCCTACAGGACAGGGTAGAACTGCCCCTGTGAGTTTCCAAGACTGTAACTCTTTAGGGGCGTAAAAAGCCCCATCTTTCTCCCACAGAGCGCCTCGGGGGCAATTCTACTCGTCTTGCAGGGTCACTGTGGGCCGGAAGCGACTCTGGCAGGAAGTTTGCTGAGTGGGGTGTGGTCTAGGTCCTGCACCAAGTGGCTCTGGAAAGAGAGAGACCCACAGACCAGGCCCTGTCCTGACCCAGAGCCCAGAAGGACCCAGCTCTGCCCAGTAGGGAAAGGGAATCAGGAACATCGCAGGTACAGGGAGCGCTCTGGACAGTGACCTTGGTCCTCAAGACCTTGGGGACACAGAGAGACTAAGACCCTGGAGCATCCACCGCGGATGCCACAGGGGACGCTGTGCCCCTGGCCACCCAGCATGCCCTCCCCTGGAGCCTCACTCCCTGCCCACTCCCTGCCCCCAGGGCTCTCCGAGGCTGTAAATCTTTACAGGAACAGACAACCTCACCTTTCTCCCCATCCCTTCCAGAGAGCACTTTCCTCAGATCTTGACCCATGTGTCCACCCTCCCTGGGGTGGACAGGTGATGAGGCGTGGCCAACCCGGGCCTGATCCTAGGCTGCTGTGACCATCAGGGCTGGGTCTGGCAGCTGGAACCTGCAGGAAGGGGGCTCTCCTGGCTCTGGGGTACCCCAGGTATGGAAGGGAAGCCTAATGCTGCAGGGCCCCCATGCTGATCAAGTGGGAGAGTCCAACTGCCAGGGGGCAATGCCAACACGAGAAAGCAGGGAGTCCAGGGAGTCCCTGGATCCAGCTGATCCTGAAGCCGGTCTGCAGACGCACACACGCCCATCTGTTCTGGTGCTGTTGCTGTTAAACCTACTGGAGCGGCACGGTCATTGATCCACAATCCACAAAGCACCGCCCAGGAAAGACGCCAGCTCCCAGCACCCCAGGCGGGAACAGCTCTGTGAGCTGCCCATGGAAGGTTCCAGGCTGCCAGTCAAGAGAGCAGACAAAGTCGCTCCTAGAGGCATGTGGGAGGGGGGCCTGTGCACCCCAGGTCACGAAGGCAGGGCAAGCCCCGACACGCGCCCAACCTGCCGACTTCCAGGGGGGGCCCTTGAGCAGCACATGTTTCCGGGAGCAGGGAGCCTCCTCTTTCTCCCTTGCAGCCACCGACCTTGCAAGTGGCAGTCAAATGTTCACCAGATAGCCCCTCACTGCCACCGAAGACACCCCACTCAGGGTGACCCTGTGACTCCCCTAGACTGGAATGTGCGGCATGAGGAGAAAGAGCGGCTGGTGGTTTCAAACCGCTGACCTTGGGGTGCGCAGCCCACGGAGTAACCACTGTGCCAGCAGGGCTCTGGCAGCCTGTCAGAGCCAGCACTGTGATCTCCTGATCAACCAGCCACACCTGGGAAGTCCAGGCCTGTGAATCACTGGGGCGGGCTGCTCCCTGCTTCCCCTCTAGGTGTCTTGTTCCCCAGTGAGCTGCCGTTCGGGCTCTGGACCGGTCTCCAGGGCTCACCGAGCCCACTGAGGGAGTGAGGGGGTGCCTCTGGCAGCAGTGACTGCCCCCAGGACAACCCTCCTGCCTCGTGGTGCCCAGGCAGACCCCTTGTACTTAAAGCAGTGGTCTCCCATCCACCTTCTGCGCCCACACCCACCCAGAGAGTGAGTATCGAGTGAAGGACTTACAATCAGGACAGAAAGGAACTCCCACATTCGTCCATAAGTCGATGAACAGCCTGATTAAAAAACAACAAACAAACCAGTGCATGATCAGTTTAGACATCTCACGAAAGAAGACAATCAATACAAATAACCAGCAAGTCCATCCACAGACGGCCAACCTTGTGGTCATCAGGGAAACACAGCTCAAGATCACAACTCACACATATCGGAACCAAAACCGGGCCCACGGCCTTTGAGTCCACTCACAGCAACCTTACAGGACAGGGTAGAACTACCCCTGTGGGTGCCTGAGGCTGTAACTCTCTGTAAGGGCAGAAAGCCTCATCTTTCTCCCTCGGAGTGGCTGGTGGTTTCAAACAGCTGTCCTTGTGGTTAGCAGGCCAATGGGAAACCACTACACCATCAGGGTTCCTCTATGCATTGGAGCAACAGGGTTGGGGGACACAACAGAAATCAAGAACAGACATCATCAAGGTGGTGGGTGACAATACGGAGCAACTAGAATGCTCACACACTGCTGGTGGGAGTGAGAAACGATGAATCATCATTTGGTTCAATATTTTCTTAACCTTCTAAGTATATTCCCCACCCTATGAGGGGCTCCGAAAAGTATGTGCAAAAGTGGGGTGAAAAACTCGTGGAATTTTTCCATGAACTTTCTGAAGCCCCCTCATGGGGAGGGGGTGGAGACCCAAGAGAAATGAAAACACGTGATGTCCACACCAGGACAGTTAGATTCGTGGTCACCCAAAACTGCAAACAGCCCAGACGGTCACTGGCTACGGAACGTTTAAGAAAGTGTTTCCCAAAGTGGGTGATACCGACCCCCTACCCTCCGAGTGGCGTGGAGGAGGGCCGTGGAATGCTCCGGGGGTGGGGGGTGGGGGCAGCAAAAGCACATACCTATAGGCTGGAGTACAAGAGTTTTTCATTACCGGAAGGGGATGGAGGTGGGGCACTTTCAAAAGGGTGGTCGGCCAAATAAGTTTGGGCATCTGTGGTTTCAACAAGCCGTGAGTTGGTCTGTCCACACAATGGGCCACTATTGGGCAACACGTAAGAATGACCGGTACGAGACAGATGGCCCTGCACAACACCCTGCTCGGTAAAAACAGCACTTTCTGTCACGGGACAGAAAAGACCACCAATTATTTGATTCTATGTCTACAGAAGTTCGAGACATGGCAAATCACAGCCACCAAAGGCAGGCCAGTGGCTTGGGGGGGGTGTGAGCGTGGCGTGGCGCACCAGGCAGAGGGTCTGAGGGCACTGGACCCTGGCTTCTCAGGCGGTAGAGACGGTCTAAACCTGGCTCGCGGTGACAGTTGCCCAGCTGGGTGCTTACACTGAGATTCAGAGAGCAGCAATGTCTACAAAGGAGGGCGCTGTCGGAGTCCTGGTTGTCCAGTGCCGCGTTGGGCAATTAACCAAAAATCACCAGCAGCTCCACAGGAAAAAGACAGGGCTTCCTACCCCCGTACAGGGCCAGTGCTACTCGTCCTGTAGGGCTGCCCTGAGCGGCATCGACTCCTCCGCGGCAGTGAGTCTGTTTTGGTTTGGGGTCGGGTAAGTAAGTGCGGGGCTGTTCGCTGCCAGGTTGGTGGTTCAAACCCACCAGCCACTCTGACGGAGAAAGACGAGGCTGTCTGCCCCTGAAAGGATGTACAGTCTCTGAAATCCTGCATGGGGATTGATGTGATCGGGGGAGGACTCGACGGCCGTGGGGGGGTGTACACTCAGAATGGCTGGATTTCAGAGAAACCATTACAGCTCAATGAAAACAATTATATACAAAATAAAAACCCCTGTGCCGCCTCCATTTCCGACTCAGAGCCGCCCACAGGACACGGAACTGGCCCTGTGGGTCTCCCAGACTGTGGCTCCTTACAGAAGCAGAAAGCCTCTTCTTTCTCCCCAGGAGTGGCTGGTGGTTTTGAACTGCTGCCCTTGCAAATGACAGCCCAATGCCCACCCATATAAAATAAAATAAGACTCCCCCAAAGCCCAAGTTCATCAGGTCCCCTCTTTCTCTGCCCTCTCCGGCTCCTTCAATATCTGACCCCATGTCACCTCCTCCCGGAAGTCTCCCAGGCACCTCAGGGTCACACCACGAGCAGACGAGAAGCGAGTATACAAATCCCCATTACTGCGAATCTCGACTCCCAGGAGGCCACAGGGAGCCTCTGGGAACCGGCTCTCCAGGGGCTCAGGCACAGAGCCCAGGATCTGGAAATGCACGCCAGCATGCCTGCTGTGGCCAGTGGACACTAGTCTCCTGGGACACTCCTGGGGGTGGGGGTGGGGGGTTCTGGAGGCTCCTGCACGCTGGGCCTGTGGCGCCTCTTCCGGGCCAGGTAATTCAGGGAGGCCTGGGGAGGGAGTGGTCAGCTCCGAGGCTGTGAGACAATCAGGGCCAGGCGACGAGGAGGCAGTGGTGAATCACACCAGCCGGGTGGCCATCCCAGCCCTTCCCTCCACTCCTTTCCCAGCCCCCGGCACAGCCCTGGAATAACATTTGCAAGACCCCTGGCCTCGGGGAGAGCCCGCTGGTCCCAGGGACAATGACCAGAGGCGGCAGTGAGTGGAAAACCAAGTGGGCATTCAGCCTTGGAGCTGGCCCTGGGGGTGGATGGGAGCGGCGAGCAGTGGGGCAGGGGGAGTGGCCTCCCAAGCTGGTGCAGGGGTGGGGGGATGGGGTGCTAGTGAGCAGGAAGTGGGAGGCCGCCCGGGCCAAGGCCCCTGTGTGACTCAGCGGAGCTCCTGTGGGACACAGGAAGCAAGGGGCTTCTTGGGAAAAGCTGGGACTTTGTGATAGATGGTGATAGGAGGCCCCTCGGAGGCAAGGCCAAACGCCAGGCCCGCCTGCCAGGAGCCGCTGTGGAGTCCCGGCCGCTCAGGAGCCTCAGTTTCACAGCCTCTACAATGGGGGCGAGGAGGCAGCGGTCAGTGGTTCCTGGGGGGAGCGCAATTGCCGGCCAGGGAGCCTCACGGCCAGCCACTGCTTATGCACTCAGGGGAGGCCCGTGGGCTGCCGGGCTGCTGCCTGGGTGTCAGCGGGGCCTCCAGGTGGAGGTTCAGGATGGGGCTGACCAGATGCAAACGGGGGACAGGACCACGTCCTCAGAGGCCCCACCCACATGCCCCACAGAGTCCAGCACCGGGGCTGCACAGGTGGCAGCAGGGGTCTTACAACCCAGTGGCCTCTGAGACCATGCACACACCAGCCTGACAGGGATGGGGGGTGGACAGCCATCCACACGCACAGGCTCCATTGTCCGCCCTCAACTGCCATTGACCGAGGACACCCCGGGCTGCGTTAAAGGTTCCCATTTCAGCTGTCCCGCAGGGCCCGGCGGGAGGGGGCCAGGAGCCAAGTAGGGCAGTGCAAAGCCTATCTCCAGTGGCCAACACAGTCCCCCGGGGTGATGAGGGGTGAGGGGTGGGGAGTGGGGTACCCACGCCCTTGGCTGGCGGGGGTGGGTTCTGACAGGGACGTGCTGCCAGCCAGGCTCTCTCTACGGCCTGTCCCTTCTCCCTTCCTCACGGTCAAGGTCGTCGTCGGGTGCTCCCACCCACCTCTCACCATGGAGGGCACCCTCCTCTCCTGGGCCCAAGGGCCAGGCCTCCTGCAGCACGGGCTCTTTGTGAGGGGGTCGGGGCGCAGGATGGGCAGGGGGCCCAGGAGGGAGAGCCATTCCAGCACAGGCCCTGTGAGACCAGGTCACCCCACAGCGGGGTTTCCGCGGGGCAGGGGGTGTACTGAGGGTCACAGAAGGCTGGCTGGAGAGGGGCGAGGAGGGTTCGCTGGGCAGTCACCCCACTCAGTACACAGTGCCCAGCACACCCCGTGGGGACACCCTGCCCAGATCACCCCACTAGGCAAACACCAGGTGTGCCCCACCAGGAACCCTTCACTGGGTACAGGCTCCCAGGACACTCCTCCAGGTACATCCTGGCAGGACCCCCACTGTGCACTCCTGCAGACCCCCGACAGGAAGTCACTACAGCAGCTGGGTAACAACAGAAACAGCTCCCCTTCACGCTGGGGGCGTTGTGGGGCGTGGGGAGCAGACCATCTATGCCTCCCCAGCGTCCACCCTCAGGCCTCGCTCTGCTTCTGCCCACAAGGGAGGCCTCAATGGAAGCTGGCATCCCCCCAGGCTGGAGGCGGGAGTGACCCTAAGGAGGATGGGGTGGGGCGGCCTGCTCTGGATCCCAAGTCACCCTGAGGACACAGCCCCCACCAAGGTGCCTGGCGCCCTACAGAAAGCAGGGAAGCTGGGTGTGAACACCCCACGCCTGCGAGCCCCACGGCAGGTGGGGCCTGGGCTCGGGCTGGTTGGTCACCAGGGGGTGGGGGGGTGGGGGTGGAGACAGCAGCCAGGCAGGCGCAGGAGGGCCCTGGGTGAGCAGCAGGAGCAGACCCCAGCAGGCCCAGGCCTTCCCCCGTGTCCCGGAGCTCGGCACCCTCGAACCCAGCGCAGGCTTGAAGTTGGAGGTCTAGTCCCCCCAGCGCAGGGCCTCCCTCACTGCCAAGGAGTCGGTGGTGACTCGCAGAGACCCTACAGGACAAGGCAGATCTGCCCTGTGAGTTTCCAAGACGCCACTGTTTGTGGGGGTAGAAAGCCCACTCTCCCAAAGGGTGGCCAGTGGTTTCAAATTGCTGGCTTTGCAGATCGCGGCTGAACTCGTAACCACAGCACCACCAGGGCCCTCTGCTCAGGGCCTAGCGACCCCACTTAACCAGCAGGAATCCGCCCCCGTCCTGCCGACAGCCAGCCAGCCAGCCAGAGGGACTACGGAGCCCGGGAAGCAGAACCAGAACTTTGCCTTGCCCAGCTGTGACCCCGGGGACTTGGCCATCTGCCTCAGGCTTGGAGGGGACTCATGTGCTGCCACCCAGCAAAAAGCAAAGGGGCCCAAGGCTGTGTCAGGTCAAGGGTGGAAAAGATACATCTGTATACTTCCCTGGCTTCCATAGCCACACTCCCCCCCACACATACACCACCCACACCACTCCAC